AAGCCAGAAGCGGAGGGGGTTTGTGTGTGGTTTGATAGAAAATGGAATTTAATCAAAGGTAACAAAATATGGCCAGATGACAAGAGTTTCTAGTGGCCATTTTCATTCTGTCCTGAAAACTTTCCTAAAGCTGCCTCAGTTGCAGCTTGGCTCCCCTCACATTATGATTCTGCACATGCCGATAATCCCCTGAAGGTTACCAGCATTCCTCACTGGACTGGATCTTTCCATGGGTCTGGTCCTAACAGATTTCATACACACTCTACCATCCTCATTTCTTGAAGTAGGAACATGCACATCAACAGAAGCAGATACATCAGCAACATCTCCAAGCAAAGACAAGCGTTCTTAGCAGGGCGACTCCAGCACCACTCACTTCTCTGAGGCCAGGGGTTACGGGGCCCCCATCACAACTGTTATCAAGATTATTATTGCTTAAGAGTGGCACACCCAAAGGAACAAAGGGAAATCTGCTCTGCAGACCCGTGTACTGACCACTGACCAGTTTCAGTCATATATATATATATATATATATATATATATATATATGTGTGTGTGTGTATATATATATATATGTATATATAGATACATAGATATAATTTAAAAAAAATTATTGGATGAGATGAAGAGAAGCATTAAAGCTCAGACTTGATGCTACTTTAAAAATTACCCCTTCCCCTCCCTCCTCCCCCCAAAACCCGGCCCAACAGCTCACTCTGTTTTCTTTCTAGATGTGTGAACTGGATTTATTAAAAGCAAAACCACAGCTCAGAATATATCCTTCTACAACATTACAATGCAAACTGACATCACTCAGAACATTAATCTGCACACAGCACACATAATAAATATATTTTTAAAAAACTATTTACAATACTTCTTCTTGAGACCCTTACATGAGCAAAAGTCATCTCGTTTCTTCCCCCAAAGGTTAAAAAAGTGTTGAATGTCTGGCTTAGTGCTAAATTCCCCGGCACCTGCAGTAAAACCATTCACATTTTTATTGTAAAAGCAGATTTACTTACAAACGGGATCTTAGAAAAACATGCTCCAGCATTACTGTTCAGGTAACCTCTTCACTTGCTTGGAAAAGACAAATGGAGGCCCCAAAGAAATGTACAAATTGTGATTCAAACGGACTAAAATCCCCCAGTGTGATCTCAGCTCCAAAGTGACTGGCACTCCCAGTGATACAGGCCCCAGTCCTCTACGGGAGGGCAGTGAGAAAAAACTGCTCAGACAAAGGAGCCCAAGAATGAAGCTAAACATGATTATAGAAATTAGGGTTCCACTAATCCATGGAAACTTTTAATGCAAACCAGGACTCCTGAGAAGTAAGCTGAACACATCTTAGAACAGATGGATTCATTTCCTAACCCCCTGGTTATGGGTAGCATCAGTGGGCCAGATGCCCACTGATATCTGCTAACAGGGAAAAAGATGAGGTGTTCATGGGAAATGTTCAAAGTAATTTAAGGGATGTTTCCTTCTTGTGGTTAGTGAAGGAGAGAGAATACACTGTCAATGTGGTTCAATGCTTTGCTGAGGTGATTGATAGGTTTTTTCCATTTCCCACGGATGTGCATCCAGATTTTCTTGGGGCTACAGCTGAGGCTCCCTTTTCCACTGAGGCCCTCAAGCAGAGGAGCAGCCAACTGTGTCTGGAAAAATAAAGGCTTGTCTGATGCCATGCCAGGTGATCTGTCTTCTAGGGACAGCGCCTAGCGCTCAAAATGCAGGGCATAGGGCTCCACTCTTACTGTGAAGTAGGTAAAGATCAGGAAATGCAAGCTGGCTCCTTAGCTGTGGTTTTCTCGCACCTGTATCTGATGTGCAGGTTAAAAAGGTACCTGCAGCACAAGGAGGGGAAAGATTTTAGTCTCCTCTTTTTTTCCTCTCATGTTATTTGGGAGTGTAATAGCCTGGCACAGTGGCTTAGGGGTGTTTAACTGTCAAAAAAAGAAATAACACTTTTCATGACAGCCTTTTTGACCAATAGTACAGTTGGTTTATATTCTTAAAATAAATACTTTCAATAGAAGCATTTGAACAGGAAATTACCACTATTTACAGTGAAATCAACTCTACAGTGGCATGTATAAATATGTATATATACAGATATTTGAAACCTTACTCACTGAGACAAAGTCATCAACAAATCATACTCCTAGGACTACCCAGAACATAGTAACTATTGGTAAAAATTAACAACTTTAAGCTACAGTGGCTCTAAAAATACCCCTCCTCAGTTATGGCATAAATATACAACATAATGTAAGCCTACTTACTTTTTTCTGCAAACCAGACTTTCAAATATTTTACAGCATTAAATATAAGACAATATATCGTATAAATTACAGAAAGCAACTGGGCATGAAAAAACCATCAAACACTCAAAGACAATGACAAGAAGAACAATGAAGAGAAAGAATGGGACAACTTTTGGACAAGAAAATGTAAAACTTGTGAAGCAGATGAATATAAAAACTGCTTAAGACTGTATGGGAGAGGGTGCTTGCACCACTAAGGGGGTGGGGGGGTGGGGCAGTGTTGTAAAGGGGTTAGAGGCAGAAGTGGAAATGACAGGAAAGTGACGAGAAAGCCTAGTTCCTTCCCAATCAGGGACTTCAGCAGCTTCTTTGTTTAAAATTAAAAGGATAGCTGCGGTGAGGAAAGATCATGGGGGTGATGTGAAGCTTCAACAAAAGCTGAAAGAATGGTTTGTATTCACAGGTCGCTAGCTTGGAGGGTAACAGACCTACAAACACTTTAGCTGTGGGAAGGCCTGAGTGAGTTAAGGATATGCTACCATCCACCTCCAGCTCCTCCTATTTCTGTGTGTGTGTCTCTCTCAAATAGGTACAAGTTCATGCTTGAATAACACAAATAAAGTTATTACCCACCACCAGTAGTCTAACTACAGACACATAATGGATTTGAACATTACTTACACATGTGTCACTGACAAATATTTAATCAACAGTGGGGCACATCATCCTTTATTATAAAAAAAGCATTAGTCTACAGCTGCAACTGTGTGCGCATGCCCAGGAGAAAATGCAGTATCATCAAAGAAGGGAAAATTACAGAAAGATTAATTTTCTACACAGGGGTTTATGAAGACCTGCATGGCATTTTGGAAAATCATCTATGTTTTTCAAGCTAGCTACCCAACTCCATGCCCAAAACGAGGCCTTGAATTTTCTTTTTCTAAAAGACACTTATGGTCCAATACACTCAAAACTGAGGTGACACTCTGAGACTCCACAGGAGCACCAGCAAGCTGTGCCACTAAGCCATTTCTCTGTCTACAGCCAAGCTCACAATGTGCACATTCAATGACCAGGTATGGTAACTGCACATGGCACCCATGTCAGAAAGCAGAGGTCTGCTCTGCTGGTGTGTGTTAGGGTGAAAATAACTTCTTTTTAATACTATGGCACAACTATTCTCCAGAAAGGTGAAGCCAAAGAGTTTTCCCAAGAGCTGAGCATATGGCATAAAGCTCTGAGAGAAGGACAAAGAAGTGATAATTGCATTAAATGGATATCCTGATCTAGTTCACGGAGTCTAGAACAATCTAACACTCAATGCACGTATTCTTACCAATGATGCTGTGTAGTCCTTGGAAACACCATCCCCCTATGTAGTACAGGCACAGCCTCAGGGTACTTCAGCACAGAAAGGAGTCTGGTTTTCCCAAAGTTAGTTTATCTTTGAAGCAAAGGATTTAAATTCCAAGATTTTTCTTTTAGGACATTCCACACTATGGGAGTCTGTCCCGCCGTTTTCAGGGAGCATGTAGTATCCATAATCCTCAGAAAGTTATTATCCTGCTTGTTTTAAGCATGGAATTCTTTTTCTTACTTTTAAAATAATTTAGGAGAGCAGGGAAGCATAGTTTGGGTCAGGAATGTGATACCTATGTGCCAAAGGCAGGAACAATTCAATATAAGGGTGTTTTTCAAACCTGATTTCTACACAATTAATCAAAATAATCTAGCATTATAGAGAGTCTGTCCAGTCTACATGATGGCAATACTTAAAAGAAATGGCAAAGAACCACCAAATCAAATTTCCTGTTCAAACACAATTAGGAGCGCTGGGGCTTCTCGGAAGAAGTTTCAGCAATGCAATAATCATCTTCTTTACAGAAAAAAAAAGACATATGAATTTATCTTTTATAATTACGGATAGAAAACAAGGAGCTGACTTTTCCATTATCATTTGCCCCTGCATCATCACTCTTTGGAGTGCATATGGAAAAGAAGAGCAATGAATCACTTCCAGCTTCCTGTTCAGATTAATTCATGATTCTGTGACTCCACGTTAGGATGAAGGTTCCATCTACTCTGGTACCTCCTTTCTGTGCTTTTGTTTTTTCACCTTTTACATGACAATTTTGGAAGGTGCAAAGGAACATCTATAAAGAGCTCAATGCCATACACCTCTTTCTTCGGACCCAGATTAAACAACAAAAAAAATTACAATACTATTTAAGAATAAATGATATTTTAAAATCATTCTGAAAGGCAAGCCATTGTGATTTGAAGTGATCCTTGCTTCAAATTATTCTGTTAAAGAGCTTTTCCATATCCAAATTTGCAATCCAGAAAACTAGGAGTCCAACAGGAGCAAACTGAATTCTTTCCTAGTAGAAATAAATCTCTGCTTCTTTTAATAACAAATCTGTTTAAAGGTGCAAGTCCTCATCGTACTTGGATTACTTCACTTACATTGCACCAAATTATATCAGCATGCATTTCAGCACTTTTAAAACTTATTTGGCCACCAATTCTGAATGCACAGATTGATTAATAGAATGAGTGAATAGTTGGATGACAGAAAAAGAGGGTACATTTCTATGGTGTATGAAATTCAATTTGGGAGAAACTGTCTAATTGGAAAGGGGGATGATAGTTAATCATAGATACGTACACATACATATCCACCTTTGCAGAGAGAGAATGAGTTTCAAAGGTAAGTCAGTGGGAAAAGAATGTAAAGAAAGAAGTCAAAAATTAAAAAAAAAAGAGGTGGAGAAAATGAGCAAGGAGACAAAAAAGAATGAAGAGAAGTGACAGGGAGGTTAGGAAAAAAGAATATGATTCTTTGACCTCAAAATAAGAAATCTGATTTTCTTAAACTTAAGCATTAGTAAGGAAAACGTGGCATTTGCTGGATCGGGTTGGCTCAGCTGGTACTCTCCCCCCTCCCAGGGTGGGGGCTGGGTGCAGGTGCCACCACAGATGATGACAACATCTGGTAATACCAGTCTACACTACTCTGCAGTACCCTTTGCCTCTCTTATTCCAACATGGCCCACAAACCAATGAAAGTGCCACCTCCAATAAGAATAACGGAATAAGCTACAAGTGGCAAGCACAAGGTAATCATGAGTTCACTTGACGGAATGAAAGCCTCAATTCCAAGTACTTGTCTCCAAGTAATGAATTTTATCTATAAAATCTGAAGTTTTTTAGTTAAGAAATCTACAATAGAGTAGTAGATGATACATATAATTGATCTAAATTCTCTATTAGAAGGTAGCATACATGTATGGTAGTATTTATTTATACCTCTTCCCTGGGAAATTATTACATGTATACTACTACATGTATCCTATTATGCTTACAGTAATAGATAAAAATGTGTGGGGCATTATTTCCATATTGATTTCTTTAGTACTAGAAATGGACAGTGCCAAAAAACTAAAGAAACACTAAGGGATAGGCAGACTCCTGATCGACATTTGTGACTAACGGATACCAGCAATGTTATAATATGAACCAGAAATAAAGCAGCATCTCTGAAGTCATTATGTAGTTGAGTGTGAGAATCAGGTAGTGGTTTAAGTAGGTTGTTTCTGAACTCTGATTTGATGGAAATCTTCCTTATACTTCTCCACACTGAGAGCCTCAAAAGACTCCTCCTGCTTCCTCCTTCTGGAGCAGAACTCAGGCTTCCCCTGAGAAATGGGTGAATAGTAAGAAGACAGAAGAAGAGAGTACTCTTTTAAGGGGTATGAAATACAATTTTGGGGAAAATGTCTAATTGTAAAAGGGGGTGATAATTAATCATAGATGTGCACACATACATATATACCTTTGCAGAAAGAATGAGTTACAAAGACGTCAGCGGGAGACAAATGTAAAAAAAGAGGGAAGGGGGGAGGAGAATGGAAGGGAGAGGTGGGTTGGCATCCCCTTCCCTAAGTTCAAGAGCTGCTCACCAATGACCATACCAGCTGTCACAAGACTCTCTTATTGATCTACAAACATTTAGGGATGTATTGACAGTTCAGTGCAAGTCAAGAGAGGTGAGGGGACAGCTATTGCCACAATGAATTAGGGGATATGGCTTGATAGAAAAAAAAAAACCAGCCCATGACTCATTGGTAGGCAGTGCTGCAAAGACTGGCATTGTGGCTACAACCCCACAGAGGAAGGAGCTGAAAGATTAGTTGGCAAGCAATGGAAAGTGGGTGGGCAGGAGGGGAAAGTCTCTTGTACATTTGCTGCGCATATCATTGCGAGGGAAACTCTGAGTGAGCTAAAACAATGTGATGAGATTTGCTCAAGATAAAAAGAAAGAATCATAATTTTTAAAAGGTGTCTCTCACACAGAATCCCATCTGCTTCAACAGTAGTAGTCACTGCTACAAAGTTATCAGTAGATTTTAAAAGAGGTTCTATTAATTTAACAGATGTGAAATACGCATTTTTCAAATGTAGCCCAGAACAGAAAAACAGAAAATGATGAAATCCCAAAATAAGCCTAAGAGGGTTTTGAAAACAAGTCTATATAAAATCCTCTCCATTTACCCATTACTCCATACTTCTCCTCAACCTTATCTCAGCCCCTGCAAAAAATGGAACATATATAGCTAAAAAACAAAAAACAAAAACAAATTCAAACCAGACATTTTTATGCTAGGGGAAAATGCACCTGGCTGAGGCAAAGGCAGAGATATTTAAATCATGATTAAGCTTTCTTCATTAATATTTATGTGAAAAGAGATTCAAGAAAATAAACACTCTTTTAAAAACGTTACAACTGTGCCACTATTTTCATGCACCTCAGTTTGGGAAAAACAAAAAGGCTATCAAAATGTACACTTCGCAATCTCATTAATGTCAGTAGCTCTTGAGTAGCTAAGTGTGGGGATTTTTCAAAGCATGAACATAGTCTATGTCTTACAGAGTGGAGAAGACTAATGAAAAAGGTTCCCATTAGCAAACTCCTCCTGCCAGCCTTGGAGTCTTGGAAGGTCAGCACAGCTATGCCTTTCCCTCTGTCCTTCTTCTCTACTGTTACCTCTAGGGTTGCTAACACTAAGTAGAGCTCACCTTTCACAGAAATGCCTGTCTTATCATGATTTGAGCGAAGTGCATTTAAAACACAACAAACATCAGGTTTTATGTACAGAGATATGGAACGTCTTGAATGGGTGGCTATTCTTAAAACAGACACCCACACCACCCTTTTTAGGTGCTGCACAAGGAAGTAAAACCATGGAAAAGTCTTCAACAATTCAGCTCTCCTTTGCAGTGGCTCAATGGGAATGTATCTATCAGCTTTGCAGAGAAGCAACACTCAAGGCACAGAGTTACGGCCAACATGTGCTCCCTCCTTCCAGGCGGGCTTACAGTGAAGAAGTAAAAAGAACTTTTTTTACAGAGAAGATGGCCCTTGATTCTGAACCACTCAGGGAGAGCCTGGCATGGGAAAGGCTGGCTGCCTATCCCAAAGAAGGCGTTTTTCACACAGCAGCTGTTTTGCTTAGGGCTCCCTCCAGGGGAGGGTATCTTAAGCTAACCCCTTGACATACCTCGCAGATTACATTGGTTAGATCTTCAGGTGTCTGTTTCCAAAAGAGGCCTGGGGATGGATAATAACACAGAGGCATTCTGTTCTATCTGAACTGACTGAACTTTGTTAATTATTCAGTCCACTTGATGCCATGAGCACGTCATTATACAAGGAAAACACCATAACAAACTGAAAACTGGAACTAAGACATGCTTATTATTAAATGTGTGCCCACATGCTCACCAAAGCCGAGTCTTGTTATTGAATAAAATTTAACATTTAGGCTTTGCATGTGGGAGGACTTTGAATAAGAAAATTAAAATGGCTGTTTTTGTCCTAATAGTGATATTATTACAAGTGGACAGAAGAAAAAAAGTTTAGATTGTTTCTGGGGTCAGGGGAAGTGTTAGAAGGAAAGCCAAGCTATCAGGCCCCAGAGCAAAGATGACAGATACTGAAGAATCAGCAGCAAAAACTGGGCCTACAAAATAACTTTGGAGGCTACAAGCAAACACCTGACCTCTTGTGCCACATGGATTTTAAGTGGGGTTCAATGATGAGAATACACGGTCTGAAATTTAAAAAACTCAAAGTCCACAGAAGTGACCAACAATTAAAAAGATAATTTTTTTTTAAAAAAAGCAACAAATAGGATAATGTTTAACTAAAGGGCAATAGACCCCCCCACACACACACCTCTAGAGTCTTCACACCATCCCAAATGATTTCAGTTTTGTTTTACCACAAGTCAAAAAGACTGGGAGGGAACACCAAGAGGTTTTCAAAGAGGAACAACTGTTCAGACAGAGATGCTGCTGGAAGGCTGCTGGAAAACGGCTTTCGGGGGCTCGATGGTGGTCATTTCTGCTACAGTACAAGTGCTTGTGCATCAAGTATAAAATGCAAGCCTTTAATCATACAGATTAGCTTTTTAGCTTTTTTTTATTAAAAAAAAAAGGGATAAATAAGGCACTGTACTTTTAAACTAAATCTGCCTGGTTCCAAGTTTAAAAACCAAGGAACATTCAGAAAGCAATTAACTCCCTTTCTCAACCCTAGAGGGAGAAAGCAAGTTCCTTTCTCCAACTGAGACACTGTTTTCTGATGCCTAAAACTGTGGATGTTTTCCTTTAACTGCAGATTTTAAAGGCTTGCTACAGCTTATAAAAGCAGGTTGAGTTAATGCAAAGAAAAGAGTCGCTGCCATAGAACAGCTCACACCTGGCTACCATTCTTTCCGTCACTTGGCATCCAGGCGTCTTCTTTTGCTGTGGGAACAGTCAAGCTTTGCCCGTAGCTTTCGTTTTCTCTGGGCCAGGATGCTCTCTGGGGTTTTCTTCACAGACGATCTGTTACTCTTAGTCTTTACACTATTCTGCTTTTTGTGAGCAGTCTTTTGTGCCCGGGAAGGTGACTCACCAGCAGCCTTCTGCTTTGGAGATTTGAGCAGTTTCTCTCGAGGGCTGGGCTGAGTCTGGCTTGGCTTCTTCTGAGTATTGTCTCTTCCTTTCCGGAGGGGAAGGTGGCTCTTCCCTGCAGCCTTGTCTGTGGCCTTCTTAACTTTCTTCTCTTTCGAAGATGCTTTTTTGGATAGTTTGTTGGTCTTATCTGAGGAAGGCCGCTTCTTCATAGCTGATGCTTTGGAGGACACATCTAAATGTTTGGCTTTACCGGCTTTCTTTCCTTGCAATCTGTCCTTGCTGGTGGAAGTGGTGTTGTCTTGCAGGCTGCTGTTCTCATTGGCTGTTTTCTTCCTTTTGTTCTGCTGACCTTCAGCTTTAGGTATGGAATCTGACTTCCCTTTCCTTCCCCTGGCTCCTTCAGCACTTGAGGCCTTCACTGGAAATCCATCTGCATTGACTTGCAAAGCAAGCCTGGGAGACATTAAAGGGTTAATGCACACACTCTTACGATTCTGTTTATTTTCCAGAGGGAGACCAAATGAACTTTCCGTTTTCTGATTCTTTATTGAACGTTGCTGGGCTCGGAGCTTTCCTCTAATATTGGAATATTTTCTTAGGATTCGAGTACTCGCTGGTGTAGGCAAATTAGAAGAAGGCTGGCTAGTTCTTTCTTCCTTGAATTCTAAACTAGCTTCAGAGTGAGATCCAAGGCTGACAGTGGCAGTCTCTTCTGAGTCCATTTTATCAACATTTTCTCGGAATTTAGCCCACAGCTTTTGAGTTTTCCAATTATTCCTAGCAGGTGTTGCCCCAGGAAATTTTTTTAAGTGTTTTTTCAAGCGTTCGGCCTGTTGTGAACTAGGATACTGGCTAGAAGAGGAGGTTTTCTGAAGGGGGCTTTTGATGGGGGGTACGTCTCCTGGGAGACGAGTATTGAGTTTCTTCACAATTACAAGTGATCTTGTTTCAGTTGTCTCTAGGAACCACCTACAAATGTCAGATAGTTTAAAAGGCTTCATAAATAGCATCTGAACAGGGGAAAGCTTTTGAACTTCTAACGATCCCTTACACTTGCGTGATCTTTTCTTACTCTTCCAGATCTCTTTCAGTTTGTCAGACTTGTTCTTTACTTTTGGTGTGGGCTGTATTTCTTTCTCCAGCTGGATCCAGCCTTTCTGAACTTTCATGTACTGGGCATTGAAGTCAGCAATAAGTTCTTGATTCTCCTCTTCAGCACACCATTCCACAAACTTTGGCTTATCATCCACCACTGTATCTGCATCTTTCAATTCCATGGAATCTTCAGCATCCGAGACTTGGTTTTCCTCTGGCACAGAATGTACCTGTACAACATCCTTTCCTGCAGCAGGTTTTGCAGCATCCAAAGAGTCCACTGTATGAGCATGCCTTAAGTTGTAGGTTGGAGAGGCCAGCCTTTTATGTTTCACTGATGATTTTAGGGCTGTACCAGTGCTTTCCTTTCTGTCACTTGGTAACGCACACAGACTAGACAGTGCATCACTATGTTTTAGATTTTCACCGTCTACCTCATTGACAACTTCCTCTAAATCCTTTGCAGGGTTGCTCACCACCTCCTTTTCTGACTGCTTTGTGTCTTCTTTACAAGGACTGCTTTCTGTAAGAAGATGAACATTTCTGGCATCAGAATTAGTTTGTTCACAGATTGCAAGCCTCTCTCCTTGTGGGTCCTGGCTAGTTGTGGGAGTGGGGCTATTACTCTGAGATGTTTCTTCTCCTCCTGCAACCCCATCATCTTTCACTATCACATTTTTACAAGTCTGTCTGGTGGTTATCCCATTCCCTTCACCTTCCTTCTGCTCAGGATCCTGCTCATCAGTATTGATATTTCCAATATTCTCCAACAGTGTTTTGTGGAAGCAGTCAGTTGGGAAATGGACAGATGCTGCTCCATCAAGGTACACTTCTCTCTTAGGACGTTTTGCACCCGGACTTTTGGAAACTTTGATCTGAAGACAAGGAAGGTGGAGAGCAGCTGGTGTGTCTGAAAGCTGACTTCTTAGGCACCTATCAGAGGCCACAAGGGTCTTTTTGACTTTCTTCTTCTTGTCTGGATTCTCTTCTGGATGAATGTTCTGATCATGTATCTCTGTTTCTGAAGACTGCTTATCATCACTTTGCTCTTCTTTCTCTAGTTGACTTGTATCATGTGCTGCCTCACTGCCCTCAATGTCATTACGATTTTCATTGGTACATACAACCTCACCTTGTTTGTGCTGGTTTTCATCTTGCTCTTGAGGGTTTTCAGTTTTAGTTTCAATATTAATGCTTTGACTTCTATTAACACTTTCAAAATCTGCGGGGGCATCCAGATTCAAATTCCTAGGGGAAGCTTGATTTTCAGAGCAAACAGAACTTTCCTCTCTGTCAAGAGCTTCAGAAGGAGAGTGAGGTCTTGAGGCAATAACAGTGTCACTATCACCTTCAAGAATGCTTTCAGGGGAGTGGTCAGTGCAGCTATCCATTCCTAGGGGAACACTAGCCTCACTAGTGCCCAACAGTTCAATTTGTGGTTGGTTTCCCACATGCAAAGGGGAGCCATTTACTATGGCATCAGAATTGCCTTCTGGTACCTTCTCTTTATGGACAAAAGAAAGGGGAGACCCTGAAGTTGTAGATTCTTTCGGATTCAGGAAACTAACTTGATTAGGTTCAGTTTGATCTTCGGTATCCTCAGCTGCAGAACAAGCTTCGGACTCCTGAGAGTCTTGGGAGACTTCCTTGAGGGTAGATCTTTCCTCACTGGGTCCTTCAGGGTCTTCACCAAGGATCTCAACATCTGCAGGTCCATTGTCTGAAGTCGTCAGAGCCTGTTTGGGAGTTCCTAAGGCCTCTGCATGCAGAGCTGAGCAGCTGCTTCTGTCCTCACTTCGTGAGCTTCTGGCCAACGTGCGGACAGTTGGTAGCTCACAACAGTCTCCATTGAAAAAATATCCTCGAGTGCTCTTTCTTGCTGTCTTCCGAGAAGATAATATTGATCGCTGACTCTCAAAGTGGCACTCAGTTATGGGTTGGCTAATATAAACAACATCATACTGGTTATCATAATCATTAATTCTCAAACCTGAAGTTCTTCTACTTTTCCGAGCTGTTTTAATGGAGGCTGATATAACTTTTGTTCGTGAATGTCCAATGGATGCTTTATGTAGACTTGGCATGGGACTTGGTGATAACCAAACATCTTTGGAATTATCAAACTGACCCTTGTCACCAGGATGTAAATGGTAACCCGCCTTATTCCTTCCTAGCACGTGGAGATGGTTTTCCTGCTTTGGCCTTGTATCTTGTTCATTTTCCTCTAAATCCTGGTGCAAAGATGATTTTGAGCTACACTGTAAAGCATTCTCTTTGTCAGCAGTTCTAGGTGAGCTTCCCATAAACCCTGAGTCCCAAGTCTCTTCTGGTAAAGCTCTAAATAAATTCTTTTGAGAAACCATACAAGTGTCACCATCCTCAGTACTATTCACATTTGCCACTTTTACAGCAATAAAACCTTCTACTAAAGCTGTGCTTTGTATCTGGTCTTTTTCATCCTCTGATTTTTTAACACTAATGTCATGCTCTTGTCCAGTAGTTTGCCCTTCTGGGCATTTAGAAACATGGTGGGAGTTAAACGAGGAAGAATTAGATGCAGTGAGGTATCCAAGAGTAGAACTATCCTTTGGACCACCAGAATTGGTTTTAGTAGTTGGAAGTTCAGAAGAATCTTTTTTGATAACAGTAAAAGCATTCTCTTTTCTTTCTAAAGATTTCATCTCAGCAGGCTCCTTCAGGGTTGACCCTGTCAAACAAGGGGACCCTTGACATGTCATTCGGTCTACGAGTAAATCTGCAGAAGGGGACTTCATATCAAAACAAATAGTTCCCTTTTCCTGATTTTCAGTGCTTAGCTGACCACACCCAGGGCTGCAAGTAGAAAGATCCATAGTTTCAGAATCAGGAAATCGTTGGCCGTCAGTCCCTGGCTGCACTTCTGTGTAGAGGTCGTTTAGAACACGAATGAACTGCTTCTGATGATGGGTACACAGTCTGACCATAAACTTTTCCAGTGGTGACTTCGGCTGATTGTTAGAATCTATTGTTATTGTCTCTGCTGGGTCCTCACTAGACAGATAGAGAGAAAAACAGTCAATAAAGGCAAGTCAATTTCAAAGAAAAATAGGAAAAAAAAAAGGAAAGAAAAAAAGTACATCACCAAACCTTAAATCCATTTATATATGTCAAAAATCGACAGAATTAATTCATAATGGATGTGAGCTATAATAATGACCAATATATAATAAATTCAGGTGGTTAGCTGAAGTGGGTTTGATTTCTCAGATTTAGAATCTGGTAGATTATAGCATTGATGCATTTAAAAAAATTAAAGCTAATAAACTGTATCTATAATCATCACTTCAGAACTGGAAGAAACTTTAGGTCGTCCAGCTCAACCCTCTCATTTTACAAATAAGGAAACTAAAGTCCAGAGAAGCTGTATGACTGTGCCTATGGTCATTTATTAATAAATGGAAATGTCAAGATTCACTCACAGCTTACATTTCAAACCTATAAGTAGAAGTGGGCAACTGGAAACAAATTAGGAAAATGACAAAGCTGCTTATTTTTAAGATTCCTAATACTATGCTGAAAAACACAGATTTTCAAAATTATTTAGCTTAATTTCATTCTCTACCATTACTCATTCTTTCATAATTTATCCTCTATTCTTTCAAAAAGATTGTTGAGAAATATCTCTGCTCCTGGGCATGAAAATGATCACTAAATGCTAAATTGTTTTATCCATGACTTTCAGCTATAACAATACTACCAATACTACTTAGGCACACAGATATCAGGCCCAAAAATAAGAAGCCAATTTGAAAATGAAACCCTACTAATCTAATAATTGGATAGATGACAAAATTATGATAAATCTTACTGTTTGCATTTTGCATGTGGTGTTCACATGTTTTTTCCCAACACTGCTAGTTGGTTGATAACAACAATGCAGGTGCCATTACATTCCTTTTCATATAAACACAAGGAGAAACCAATGATCTGCCTTCTGGGGAGGTCAACACAAAGTCAGTCTTACAACCCAAAAGCGTCTGACTGCCAGGACTTAACTCTGAACATGGGAGGCAGTGAGGTGGCCCTGTAGAAAGAGCTCTGGGCCAGAAGTCAGGAAAACCTTAGCTCAAATCCAGCCTTAGACACTAGTTGTGTGAGTCTGGGAAAGTCACTTCACCTGTGTTTGCCTCAGTTTTGTCACCTGTAACTTGCCAGGGTTGTTGTGAGGAACAAACGAGATAGCATTTATAAACTATTTAGCACAGTGCCTACTAGCACATAATAAGTGACATATGAATATTAGCTATTATTATTATTGTTGTTATTATTACTAGGCCAGTGCTGCATTCTCTCAGTTATCTTACTGAAACCTATAATTTTTGGAAATCATGCTATAACAAAACCCTTTATTTTGAAAGCATCCAGAAGCTAATCCATAACAAGCTTCTAGATTTTTAATGGGGAATTTATAAGGTATGTATGGAAATAACTTAGTACAGGGGACAAACTAAATGTACTGCTGATAAGGTAGCTAATGGTTTAGCAAGAAAGATTTCAGGACATTTGGGAGTTGCTGAGAGAAAATTATCATTATTATACTTAATGTGACAGTCCTGCTTAGCCAAGTTTCCTCACTGCTAATACCTTCAAGAAGTTTTATTCAATTTTATCAATGGCCTTTCTGGGGGTGAAATTATAAATTGTTTCAAAGTAGTGATCTACATCTGTGACTATGATTACTGCTTGTTACAGCACATAGAGCAGAGTAATCATTTTTTATGGCGGTGATGACATTTTTCATTAAATCATCCCTCCTTGTATTCAATTTTCAAAATAATTATAAGAAATCACAAGGCAATTAATATGGCAGGTGTGAACTAGGAAGCTTACATTCTCTCCTTTTGATTTTCTATCTAAACCCTAAAAATTCCTGGAAAACCTGTTTCCCGATACATGGCATGAAAATGTTGTTTGCTCCTATATCATACTTGCTACTTAACACAAATCGCTTCTGGGTAGGAATCAAGTAAGTGTTCAGATTTGTGGATGCACAATCTCTTCCATCTTGATTGTGGGTTCACCCCCTATTTTTCTAGGCTACTCATGCCCAATTTTACAGAATTTCATTTTTCTTTGGAAGGCATCTTGTGTGAACGCAATTAGAACATAACAAAAGCTCTTTGAAGGGATGGGCTATTTTTCTATTGTCTTTGAATGTGCACAGCACAGACTCTTGTATATAGTGGGTACCTGTCAGCTGTGCACAAACATGTTTGAAGTATAAACTACACAAAGTGTATAGATAGGGGAAAGGAAGGAGATAAGCATTTATATAGCACCTACTATGTGCTAACAGGGCAGCGAGATAGTGCCAGGCCTGGAGTCAGGAAGACTTGAGTTCAAATCTGGGCCTCCAATACTTGCCCTGGGCAAATCACTTAACCTTGTGGGCTAGAGAAGGAAATGGCAAACCACTCTAATATCTTTGCCAAGAAAATCCCAAATGGGGTCACAAAGAATCAGATATGACTGACTGAAAGGATTGAACAACAACTACTTTGTGCCAGGCACTATACTAAGTATGTGTTAAAAATATCTCATTTTATACTGACAACCATCTTGCAAGATAGGTACTATTATTATCCCCATTTTACAGTTAAGGAAACAGAAGCAAACAGAGTTTAAATGACTTACCCTGGGTCATACAGCTACTAAATATCTGAGTTTTATGTACTCAGTTCTTCCTGACTACAGGCCCAGCCTTCTATACCCTGCACCACCAGGTACTCAGGTGCCTCTAAGGAACTCTATGGACTTGAATTAGGGTTTCTCTGAGGATTCTTCTACTATTTTATTATTTTCATCAATAAATATCTTTATTGATTTAGGAAAGAATTAGGACTTGCTTTATGAAAGAGTTAAGGCACGTTCTCTGCCTTTCCAACCACCACTGTTTGGCCACACTGGAGCAAATGAGCAGGCTTTCTGAGGGTTCTTAGATTATACCAGTCATGCCTTATAGGTTTCTAGAAAAGGTATCATAATAAAGTGCCACAACAATGTCTCATTTATCCACCATTATCAAGTGAATGCTCTGAATAAGTGAATTTTCCATATACATAATTCATGCTAACACCTGTGAGCAGCCCAACTCTTCTGTAATTTTAGCCATCTAGCTTGGGATTCTTTTAAAACGTATTGCAGATTTCTCTGTCTTCTTAAATGGGGGGCACTAAGGCTAATATTATATTGTCTTGACTCAGGGATATATTGCGGTGGTGTCAAATATCTGGTGTTTGATCCAATGAGGGGCTTGCCTTGGTGCTAAAAGGCTCCAAACCACAGGACTTTTGTGTCTTTCCTCCACCCCACTGCTCCCGTCCTCTTAATTTATTCTTTCTAATCAATCACTGGCTAGGAAATCAGATAGCTGGACTTCTCAGGACTACGTAAAATAAGAGTTAAGAAGTCTCAGAGAAGATCTGAGAAACTTCTCAACATGTGCTGCATAAACTTTGTGGGCACTGCTTTGGTCCTTCACAATCCTTTTTTTGCTTACTGCTTGGGTCTTAGCCAGTTTAACCAAATGTTGAGATTCCCAGAGAAATGAACTCTGAATAAGTGAAATCAATGTTGCTATGCTAACAATAAACCAAGTAATACATTGCAAACATTGACTAGTTTCTCATGAAGAAAAGCACTGTTATAAGAAGAGCTAAAAGTCACATACGATATAACATTTCACTTTGCCTCTTTCACAAGGTAAAGCACAGAACAGGAGGGACTCAATCAACATTTGTGGAATGAGCAGATAAGGAGATAAAAAGTCCTGAAAACCAAGAGCAGATTCCAGGCATTAGGCATTAGGTCTGCAGGCTTTGAAAGTAATACAAATGTCTTTCAGTTAATAGATAAGTTGAGGCAAAGTTTCCTGCAAATCAGTTGTGTTCAGTGAATCAGGTTTTCCCTTTGCCTTCCATTATATAATAAGGGATAATCATCTATTCTGACCCTGAGATGTAACAAAATCATTCTTGTGGATATTTAATCACGTTTCAAGGAAAAACAAAACGGTCATATTAATAACTCCAAAATATTAACATTTAAATTGGAAATAATAGGCAAATTAATATATGATTCCTGTGTTGAATCTTCCTAAGTTAAAAAGATACTTACTTAACTGGCTGATGACTTGATATGAGCAAAATAGATGTGATATCTGAACCATTCAAAGTGCTCATGTTCAATTAGACAATTCATTAATTCCTTCAACCTGTATATGAGTGAATCTGAATAAAGGTACTTGTTCCTGCCCTTATCCTCTATCAAAAGTACCTAGCCTAGCCACTTAAAAGTTATGTAACAGCACACTTAACAATGCACTTAATAATATATCTGTGCACTTTGCTCCCCCCCCCCCCAAATTAAAGGCTACCATTTCTTTCTCAGGCTCTGGGTAAAGAAGCAAATTGGTTATTTCAGGTGTAAAGTGAGAGAATTGGGGTAGATCTTCAAGACCTCTTCCATCTCTGACATTTTATGATGTCAATGAATAATGAAGAAACACATTATGGAACATAAAAAAAAGAAAATGAGAAGTACTATTGATGATTTCTGTGACTAATGTTTACTAATACTAAAGGCAAGCCTTGAGTGCTGCCTATTAAAGAATCCAAGCCCTCTTCATCTAAATGGAACTTAGACCTGGTGTCAGACAAAAGTTCAGAAAGTGAATTCAGGCAAATTTTCCTATTTCAGAAACCTCTACAAAAATACTAACTTCATATTACAGAAACTACATGAGCATTCCCTATTCAGACATGGTGATGAGTATGCAATTAGATATACATTACAATTTCTATGAAAAACGAAAATTCATCTAGTCCTTCTTTTGCTTTTAAAGCCCATTAGAAATTTCAACCAGATATGAGAATCTTTGTAATACTGACCTTTGGTCAGGTCTAATAAAATGTTTCCATCTACTACTACATATAATCTGAAAATTATGATAACGAAAATACTTTTGACTGTTTTCCGTTTTCCTAGTTTGT